GAGCAGTCCTTGCGGTCAATGAATCAACGGTAAGTCTAGAAAGCTGATCACAACAGCCAAATTCGTGTACCGAAAAATAAGGAAAATGTCCAAGAATAGCCTGCTGCAGTCACACGAAGTAGCCTGCTGTAGCCATTCAAGGCACTTTCAATCGTAACTTCACAAAGTATTTGTAGTCTCAATGCCATGCGTGCGATTGAACACCAATCCGCAATAATATTCCGTGCAATATGTCGTAAACCCCTTAGGCACTCTAGTCGCACCCCCCCCCTCCTCCCCGCCTCGCCTACAATACAGTGATCAACTTAACATGTTCAACGGTGAAAGGATAGGAACATTTTCACCGAACACTGGCCGGCTTTCACCACTGGTTCTGTTTTCCTTTTCCTATTTTGTGCCCGCTCCCCTCCACGTGTGTCGCCTCTCCTCGAAGTCCTCTTATTTAGATGGACACAGCACATTCTGTTCGCGCGACACATAGCGATAATCTAGCAAAAACGCAAGTTTCCAGAAAAGCATCTTGATGGTATCACTGCCCAAAGCTTCTTGGCAAGATGCGATCACTTACTTGCAGATAGTACATCCTCAACATTAGAATGGATATTAGCTTCCGAAGAACAGAGGTAAGTTTTCAGGGCAGAACAGTTATCTGTACTGATTTTCAGTTGAAATCTTCCCGTCGACGATAGGTCAGCAAGCTGAAAACAGTTGATAAACTGACACTGAGGGTCCTTTCATACTTACTTCAATGCTACACTGCGTATCTGGTAATGATTTCACAGCGATTAAAGTCTGTTCTTTGAGTGTATCCAAGCTTCGCAAATCTCGAAGTCGCAAGTATCTGAATGGATTCAGACTTACACAGCTCATTGCCAGTATTCAAGGTACCCACGCGTATGGATTGCATGTTGGATCTTCCTTTAAAAGCTTTACGGCGGACGTCAAATCAAGCAACACAGCATCAAGCTCAATCTCTTCTGCTTGCAGATCCCTACAATCCTTCTTCAATGCATCTAGCACAGAAGCGTCGCCATCGTTTGTTCTATACAACTCATCAGGTAATTTGTTGCAGAAAGTTGAATATCGGCAGCAGTAGTATTTCCATACACTCACTTCCATCTTATGCTGTTTTTGCCGATCTTCTCAACTAAATTGATCCCTTCAAGCACATTAGTGATATCGTACAAACGACGCTTCGGAACATTAAGCTCTTCTGCAGCATTGTTCAGATTAACAGTCTGAAAAACAACTCTTAGGACACCTGCATGGCGAAGCAAACGACCCACATCATTGAAGTTCTTCAGCGCCATGAACTTCTTTGTGGTCACAAGGAGAGAGTTGTCTACACGTGTGTTCCCATGGTCTAAAAAGGAAAATGAGGTTGTTAACTGACGACCGGATGCATTAACATCCCCGCTAAAAAGCTGAAAGAAGATTAAAAAATCATAGAAATTTTCGCAGTCGATAAGCCAATTTTCGACTTGCGGCTCGTAACTTTCATGACTTCAATACATCATTTGTTGTCATGTGAAACATGGTTAGCACTGTTAAGCTAAATAATAAGTGAAACCTTGGAATGATTCCATCACCTGCGAAAAAAGGAAAATGACTTCGAATAAAATACTCGGCACCCTAGGTATCGTTATCGTAAAAGGATCGATAGAAAGCAAAAATGATTCCACAACTTGCGTTAGATATGTTTATGGTGTAGGGTAATAGAAGCAGTTGAGGATGGGCGAGAAATCCAGATGATGACAGCTTTAAAGGCAGCGTCCTGGCAAATCTGGACGTATGGGGACCAGTTGCCTCGACGCTGCCTTTAAGAATAAAGCTTCTTTTGAGCTGCGTTTCCCTCACCAGCGAAACGTCAATGCATGCGTCCCTAGAGCGTATGCATGAAAACCCTTGCGGGAGAGAAGCGACGTCGCCAAGCTCGCAGTCCCTTCTTGACGGGGACTCGGCTCCCCTCGCAGCGAGGACTTTCATGAATACGCCTGGGTTTTACAAATTTTTGAAATGACTTTTTTCTCTCTAAATATGATGCACTTAAACTTTGTTGAG